ATGCTAAATTTGGGTTTTTTACGAAAATGCTAAGACGAAGTTTCAGTTTAAGGGTTGCATGTATTCATTTTGTTTACCAATATCCATGCATGATGATATCAAGGTATGCACATGTACTATTGTTCTCCTCGGTCCATTGGTAAGGGCATTGAGCACTAGTAATGTAATGAATCATATAGAAATTAATCACCAATACACTAATTAGGTCATTAATTATGATTTTATATAACTTAGGGTTATTTTTAAAAATTTTAAATAAATAAATGGACTTCAAATATGAATTCTTTATGTAAAAACAAGTCGAATGACTTTAATATAGATCATATTTCATGTTAAAATAAAAATGCCATAGTGTCTGAATGATATATTANAAAAACAAGTCGAATGACTTTAATATAGATCATATTTCATGTTAAAATAAAAATGCCATAGTGTCTGAATGATATATTAAACGGGTAATATATGAATAATATGTGATTCAAATGGAGATATTATAGAAAAGGGGACAAAAGTGTCATATGAAGGGGGGGTCTAGCCATCCTTTAAGTGACAAGTGTGTTTTATTATTAAAAAAATAAACCTTCGGGCAAAAATGGACATTTGTGTAATGAGGTCACATGCATTGCAAGGATGGTGATGTGAGCTAGAGTTTTGGCTGTAAATAGCCATGAAGTGATGGCCAAAACGCAGAACAAGGTGAAGAAAGGGGGAAAAATTCATGAGATCTTGAGGTCAAAAATTGAACAATGATTTTACTTCAAATTGTTATCAATTTCAAATATTTTGTTTAGGGTATTTTGAATTTCATATGCANCATGAGATCTTGAGGTCAAAAATTGAACAATGATTTTACTTCAAATTGTTATCAATTTCAAATATTTTGTTTAGGGTATTTTGAATTTCATATGCATCGAAGTCATTTGAAGTACGGGATAATATACACTATGCTCTTGTCTTTTAAATTTCTTTGTAAAGAGTGTCCTTTGATTGATATATGTACAAAGTGATTATGACCCTATGAGATGCGATTGTGATTGGTTAGTATGAGTATGGATTTATATGCCTAGGTATCGCCAGTCATGTTACCAAGAGGAACCGAGTATGGATTTTGCTATCCATGATCTTTATTATTTGAGTTATTTGGTATTTGATCATTTGTATTTTTTATTTATCATTGAGCATATTGTTTCTTGTCATATTTTCTATTTCTCTACTTTTAATATTTTTTCAAGATTATCTCAGAGAAAGGACCAGAGTTGAAATATGAGAGAATTACAAATTTATAATTTTGTGGTGATATATAATTCGAACAGATTCATTGCATATTATGAAGAGAATTTTTTTATTGAGGTAATTTGAGCTTTGACCCATGTACATTTGGAGATATATTTATGATCATGGTATTGTGATCGATTGATTTATCAAGTAATGTGTTTCGGAAACGGCGTGTTTCAAGTAACGTGTTTGTTTAGTTGAGTGGTATTATTAGTTTCGATTATTGACAATCCTTTTTTTTTCCTTGTGCCTTTTTTTTGCACCAATTTATATGTTGCCACTTTTTGTTTTTGAATTATAAGTCTAAACAAAGTTTGATTTTAGATGTACAGACATATATACTAAGATAATGCTAAATTTGATTGTATACTTAGAGGGATGTATTGAGAGACAACTTCATTTAAGGTGACCGAATGTTTCTATAAATCTCATTTCAAACTAATGTCATTCTTTTCTTTCTTCATGAGCATCTTTATATATTTTGTGAATTTTCATGTTAAAAAGATTTAACATGTATAATTTCGTTGTTATTGCAATAGATTTTTTTATTGCTTCAATTGATAATTTTGGATTTAATATTACTAATATGTTGTTGCAGTTATTGATAAAATGGTTATATTGAAGCATGAATGCAACGTGATGGAGAGTGCAATAACTAGTTTGGGCCGTGTTTTCTTTAAGCATGCATTTATCAAATTACTAGCATTGAAATTCTATGGTACTATTTTCAAAAGAATTTTTTGCCAAATTTTTCTTTTTTTTTTTTTTTCCTCTTAACTTTTGTAATTTTTCCATGCTCTCTACCCAAAGTTTGGTTCTCTCTTAAGCATAGCTTGCCACCATATCATTTGGTTACTCTTTTTTGTTGGAATGATATATATCAATTAAAATACTAATGAATTATTGGGTTGCCTATGAATGTGTTTTAATTTCAATTTTTTTTATAATTGATCACCAAATTGTAATTTTTTTTTATTGGTCCAGGTAAAATTTGGATCTGTATTGTTTGTTGTAACATGCTGATGGGGCAAGAGGATGGCTACCATGAGGTGTGCCTAGGTTAAAGAACAAGCATTGAGAGTAGCAATCACTACATTTTTGCTACTACCTACAAGTGTATTGTATAATTACGATTATTTATCATTGTTTTTTTCCCAGAAGGTAATTATTTATCATTGTGTGAATGGTTAATATCACTATAATGTTGTGGTAGTTTGTAGGTAGTCGTGTTTAGACAAGACTATAATATGATGGGGAGTTCAGTAATTGGTTTAGGTATGATTATGAGATATATAAATTTTGTGGCAAGTTGATATTTATTTGGACTCCTATTTTTAGAGGAAATTCCGCTAGGATTTTTTATAAAATTAGCTAAACCCATATTGAATTTAATTTCTCTTATTCAAGCAGTGGAAGGAGAAATGTTCCAAATCAACTACTTTTTTTTTTCCAGATGGTATCTTCGGCACCAATTGTCTATAGTTTGGACATTGTTAGTATTAAATTAGGTTTTGTGTCATTTATATTTTTGAAGCATAATTTGTCTATGACTTTGTCAATACTTGTCGTGCTTAGCATAGGTTATTGCTAGTTTATTTATATCACACGCATATGTAATAACAACGATAATAGGTGGCCTCAATGATAAGATGAGGTGGCAATGTGGTTTATTGGTGGTCTGTGATGACGGTGGATGGTGGCAACCATAGTGAGTCATTGTTATTGGTCGTGGTTGCGAGTGGTGGCGATAGTGCTAGGCAATGGATGGTAATGACAGTGACAAGTGGTGGTTTGATGGTTGGTGGCTGTGACAAGTGACGATTGGTAGTGATTACGATGAGTGGTGGTGGTGGCCTTCGTGGGTGGTACAGGTAGTGCGTGTGGCAATTGTTTATAATCATAAAAAATGAGATGTATATGTGTAGAAGTGGCATATCTGTCAAAAATTCTTAGGAATTTATAACTGGGTCAATACAACTAATTCAACTCTCAATTGTAATCACACCGTGCTTGTATTATCAATGCTAGAAGTTTTTAATGCAATTAAGAGCCAACACCGATGGAATTCCTTGTATTATCCACAACTTATGCGAGAATGGATTTCATTTTGTCTTCATCTTCTTGATCTGATCTATGATGCTTATCTTTTTCAAAAGTTGAAACCACAATTTATGACCTGTTTTAGGGACTTAGATATGCCAAGCTTACATGCATTCAACTAGTTTTCCTAGTTAATATTTGTAGTGTATCTTTTCACAACGAGAGTTTTTATTACTATCTATTGATTTTGAACATTTTCAATTCCTAGAAATAGACCAAGAAGCTTGTTGGGGGATCAATGGTTTGATCTAAAACCTAAACCCTAAACCCCCAAAACCCAACCCCCACACCCGAAAACCCCTACAACCTAACCCCTAAACCCTAAAACCCAACCCCTAAACTTTTCACTGGATGGGCATAGATTGTCAGTCCAATCAAGATTGGGATTCAATGAGGTTGGGGTAAATTGGGTAGGCTTAGTCACTAGCTATTTTTTGATAGATATTAAAAAGTTGTACAAGGGTGGGAATAGCCCCACTCAAAACTTATTCGCTGAAAACATTTGTAAAATATCTCTCTTGGGAAAATATTAGACCCCGATAATTTTAGTCTTATAAAATATAGAATCAATACTTGATGGGCCAAAGGGAGCTCATGTCTCCCAGAACGTATTTATTCCTTCAAGTGGACATCATTTACAATTAGACAATTAAATCAAAAAAAATACGCCCATCACATTCGATTTGTCTAGGTCATTGTGGGTAGATAGTTGGAGCCAACCCAAGCTGCAAGAGGAAAACAAATGACATCTATTAATAAATAAACAAAAAAGAATCAACATTGCATCTCATAACAGATAAGGTCAAGCGAAATCTGAGAACGAATACGTATTAATAGTGACAAACAACAAAACATGTTCACAAATCAAATGTGATTATTCGTTATTTTGGAGGAATAACAGAAGGAGGAAAACATACAATAGAAAAACTCACCATACGATTGTCCATGTTAAGAAATAGAAAAATCAGTGTATAAAACAAAGATGGAACTAATTTACAAAAGATGTCTCATATCAAATGAAAACACAAGTGGCAAGCGACTAATAATCAAAATAAAGAACAATCACTGCCCATTTAACCAAGATTCAGGGATGTTGGCAATCCAGCCATCTCTCAGACATGAGGATGCACACAACCGAAATACGACAACAACCTAAAAGTGTGTAGGATAGAGGCAACTGGATTAACAACGCTAATGTTTAACTGAGCCACAGGAGAGGCTACAATGGCAAGACCGATAGCAACAACAAGCGAATTGATGTCTGCACAATGTCATCACTGGTTAACTTTGAAGCATGAGTGTTACCCAAGAATGTAATAAAAAATTCCACTTGTATTGATAGATTACCAAGCATATTAACTTACCCCTTCATTACCCAAAAAAAAACACCTACCATTTTGGCTCGGATGATTGTAGCAGCAAGTGGCACCATACTTGCAACTGGTAAACCCTAAACCCTAAACTCTAAACCCTTTTTTTTTTTTTTGAGTAACCTCGACGGTATGAGAAAATTTTATTAATTTTGAAAATAAATTACACATAGCGAGGGGGACGTATGTACCTTACCTCAATATACATCTAAATAAATTATGTGTAAAATAAAATAAAAAATGCACGCAATTACATCATAATGCATTTTAAAATTAAAGAAGAGAAAAAAATTCTTAAAACTAAACTAAAGATAATGGCCTGCAATGATTAGGACAAGCTCAAAAGAATTTAAACTTATCCTAAGTTACTAAAAAAATATGTAACTGCCTTGAAATTCTGGATAGGAGTTTGTCCTTCGCTGGAGTCCTATCAACAGACGGAGAGACTATTGATAAAATGGCCAAGCTAAGTCAATGCCACAAGCCTCAATTTTGTTGGACTCTAAATTGCCTGGTCTCCTAGCAGTAGTCAAAACTGACTAGAATTCATCTCATAGGACTCTGAGCTGTCTGCCTGTATGATAAAGCCTGAATTGGACTGTACTGCTGCAGTGTCCTTGTGGGCCAAATAAAGAGCCCAGCTGAAAAAGCATAATGGACTTAAAGCAAAAATTATACTTAAAAATCTAGCTGGCAGAATCCAGCTGGGAAGGTTGTAATGCCGATAGAATCCAACTGATGAAGGTGCAGCTGCAATTCCCAAAGACTGCCGAAGACAATTGAGGAAAAAACCAACTGCAGCAATAAAAAGAACAGATGAACAGTACCCGTGAACATAAACAGTACTCGTGAATAGTACCAGTGAACAGTACTCTTGAACAGTACTGTGAATAATGACTGAGCTGCATCTTTAAAGAAAGCTTGAACTCCTCCACAGCTACATTGCCTGGGCTGATTTTGAGAAGAATATAAAATAAAATCTGCATGTAATAAAGATTTTAAAATCCAAAAATAAGTAAAATTCTCAGCTGACTTTGACTTCTTTTCTTTTTAGAACTTTTTGTTGTCGTTGATCCTGCTGCAGTAAACTACGCCCCTCAAGTGGGAGACTCTCAGCTGAAATTATCTCCATATATTGTCTTTATTGGACTCCTTGATTTGCTAGATAATCAGCAACTGCATTTGCTTCACGATATACATGTTGAATTTCAAACTTTAAGCCTGAAAATAAGGTCTTAAATCTCCAATTACAGCCACATCTTGCTTTCACCATATCCACCAGGATTATGGAGTCTGTCTCAATAATCAATTGATAATCAGACAAACCAAATTTATGGTAGAACTTTAAACCATCCATCAACGCCCTAAACCCCCTAAACCCTAAACTCTAAATCCCTAAACCCTAAACCCTAAACCCTTATTTTTTTTTTTAAAAGAAGGGAGAAATTTTATTGATCAAAATCAGAATTACAAGAAGCAAAGGAATTGAAAAAATTCTAATTACAAAGAGTTGCCTTTAATCCTTCAAACTAAAACCAGATTTCTAAAAATCACAATCCAGCTGCCTAGCCATCAATGTAGAACAATGCCTAGCCATCTGGACCTGCTACTCCTCCAGCTGCTGAGAGAGCTTTTCTTTACAGTGTAATGTACCCCATGCTCAGTTCCTGCTTCTTTACTCATAGCTCATCACAACCCTCCTACATTTGAGCCCCAACAGCTATCTTCAAAACCCAGCTGAGAAAATCATAAAGCACTCCTCATACTGCATTGCTCTCCACAGAACAGCATCTGTAATCTTATTGCCCCCCAGACAGAAAGAAAAACAATCTGCTAGAATAGTAGAAAGCCACAGAAACATATTTTCTGTCCAGTTGCTCAGTACCAGTCCACAAACCATCAGAGATTTAAGTCCTTAAGTCACCCCTCACCAACCTTTTCAATCTTGCAGTAGGCATTCCAGATTGATCTTGCTGCAGCAGCAATCTCCCAATCAAAGGCAGAACACCACTAGTAGAGAAATTAGTGCTACAACCAGAACAGACTGCAAAAGAAGCCAGGAAATCAACTATTACATTTGCCTCTCTATATACATGCTTAATCTAATACTACAACCCTTCAAGCTCCTTCCAAATCTCATCCAAAACACCTTTCACCCTCCAAGGAATTTCTGTTTCCCTCAATACCATCTGGACCAGCACCTGGGAATCAGATTCAATAAGAAAATTATAATCCTCCAAATCATACTGCCTAATTAGCTTCAATCCATCCAACAGTGCCAAGCATTCAGCCAACATATTAGTTCCTAAGCCATAGAAAGATGCAGCAGCAAGGACAATATGCCCTTCAGAGTTCCTTACCACCACTCCTCCTCCAGTCAGACCACTACTGCCTTTGGAAGCCCCATTCACATTCATCTTCATCATGTTTACAGGAGGGGGTTCCCATTTAATCCACATTACCTTGGTAATGATAGAAAAAGGATTATCAATTCTTAATGCCTTTCACCATTCTTTCCCCCAGCTATCATCTACTTTCTTGGGCTTAATCATGAAGGCCTACCACCTTAGACCACTAATCACCTGGAAAAAAAGGCCAAAAGCATTAAACTTTAGACCCTCATACCTTCTCTTGCATCTCTCCTTCCACAGGGCCCAATAAATCAACATATGCACTCCTCTCACCAAACAATTACTTAGAGATTGGGTCTTAAAACACCTCTGCAGTCTCAAAAACCTGCACATTGGAGATTCCCCTAACAGCACTCCAAACCCCATAGCAACAGATACCCTTTTCCATACCTCTTGAGCAAAAGAACAGTTAACAAATAGATGAGAAGTACTCTCCTCTTCCATATCACAAAAATTACATCTGCCAGCCAAAGAGACCCCCACTTCCCTTACTTTAACATCAGTAGACAGCGCATCTCTGAATATTTTCCAAGTACACAATTGAGCACTAGGAAAAATTCTCTGCTTCCAAATACACTGAGCTATAACACTCTGTACCCCCTCCTTCTAACTTGATTCCAAGTAGACTTAATAGAAAAGAGACCAGATTTAGTATGTCTCCAGACTCTTCTATCAGTCCTATCAGACCACACCACACCACACCAGCATTTCTAACCTCATCCTGTAAATGAAGGGGCAACCATCCAGATACTCCTTCTAAATTCCACCCATCAATATTCCACACCTCATTCATCTGTGGAAAAAACAAAGGGCACTCCTCAACTCTAAGCAATAATGGACCAGACTCCATCCAAGGGTCACACCAGAAGTCAGTAGAGTGTCCATTACCAATAACCACTCTAGAATTACTAACTACAAACTCAAACCATGGCCTCAGAGCCTTAAAACTCTGTCCTGCCCCAGAAGATAAACATCTCAACATATGTTTTCCTTTAAAATACTTTTCTTTGAACACTTTAGCCCATAGAGATTGACCATTCAAAATGCCCCAGACCTGCTTGATTCTGAATGCAGACTGAATGTCAGTAAAGCTTCTAATTCCCAAACCACCTTCAGCTTTAGGCTTCAAGATATTATCCAATGATACCCAATGCCTCCTCCTGGAATCCAACTTGCTTGACCAGATAAAACCAGAGATTAATGAATTCAACTTATCTAAAACCCCTTTTGGAATGTTCATACAAGCTAACATATGAATAGGAGCAGAATTGAGCACTGACTGCACCATTACAATCCTACCCATTCCAGAAAGCATTTTTGCATACCACCCCTCAATTCTTTTCCTGAAACTTCTTAACACATCCTCAAAGTAGCATTTCCTGGTCCTTCCTCTGATGATAGAGCATCCCAAATAAGTAAAAGGATAGTTCTTAATAAGGATCCCTACCACAATAGTCAGCATATTCCTTCTGGCTTGAGAAATCCACTTGGAACAAAACATGGAACTTTTCAATTTATTCACCCTCTGGCCAGAACAAGACTCATACAGATCAATAAAATCTAACACATTTAAAACAGATTTCTTGTTACCTCTAAGAAACACCAAGGTGTCATCAGCAAACAAAAGATGACTAACCAATGTAGTCCCTCTACCAATATGAAAATGCTTCACCAGTTGTTGCTGATAAATGTTCCTTAGCCCCCTGCTCAATACCTCCTCAGCAAGAATAAACCAGGTAGGAGAAAGAGGGTCCCCTTGCCTTAATCCCCCAGAGTTTGCAAAATACCCATATTTTCTGCCCATTCAAGCAAATAGAAAAGAATTGAGTACTCAAGCAGTTCAAGATGATCTGAATAAACAGATCTGAGAAGCCAAAGCAACTCAACACCTTTAGTAGAAAATCCCATTCCAGCCTGTCATAGGCTTTCATCATATCCAGTTTTATCACCAAATTTCCTCCATCCACCTTTCTATCCAGTTCTCCAACAAGTAACTGCCCCAATGCAACACAATCACCAATACCTCTTCCTTGAACAAAGCCATGTTGTTCCTCAGAGATCAGCAAAGGGAGCAAACCAGCAAGCCTAGTAGTGATTAGCTTAGTAAAAATTTTGTACAGAAAACTACATAAGCTAATGGGTCTGAAGTCAGAAAAAAGATTTAGGATCATTCTTTTTGGGAATCAATACCAACAAAGTAGAATTCACTGACTTAGGCATCATACCACCTTTCAATAAAAAATTCACAGCTGTCCAAGCATCAACTTTGATAACCTCCTAAGCAAACTAAAAAAACCTACCAGAAAGTCCATCTGGTCCAGGGGCACTTTCAGTTGCCATAGAGAATAACACAGCTCTCACCTCCTCCAAAGAAGCTGCAGCAGTGATCTTTTCATTATCCTCTTGACTCACCAGCTTAGGAATAACAGAGAAAATATGATCCTGTATATTATGCACCTCTAATTTATAGAGGTCAGTATAAAATTGTTCTGCAACCTCAGCTATCTACTGATCCCCATAAACCCCAACTCCCTCCTTATTCTGAATTCTGGACACGTTATTCCTTGTAACTCTACTCTTGGCCATAGCATGATAAAACCTTGTATTCTTTTTCCCTTGCAAAGCCCACCTGATATTGGCTTTTTGCTTCCAATAAATCTTCTCTCTCCTCAATAGAGCATCCAATTCATTTTTATAACATTCCAGGTCCAAAGCTTTAGAATCAGAGAAATTCTGATCTAATTCCAACTCAGCATTCTTAATCTTCTGTTCCTGAACTTTAATGTTCTCAAACAAATTACCAAACACAGATTTATTCCATAACTTCATATGTGCCTTCAAATACTTTAGCTTAATAAACAAATTAGACATAGGATTTTCAGAATAATGACCACTCCAATTAGTTGCAATCAGATCAAGAAAACATGATCACTCCACATATCCTAAAACCTGAAATATGAAATCCTCTTCTGGACTGGAGAATTCATAATTTTCAGATGCAAAGGGCTATGATCAGAGATTCAGAAGAACCTCTAGCCATATGAATTACTTCCAGACCTCCATATTTCAAATTCCAAGAGACATTTATCAAAGCTCTATCCAATCTCTGCACATTCTTACATGCCCTTGTCTATTATCACACCAAGTATATTTGTTTCCACTAAAACCACCATCAACCAAACCCCTTTGAATAGATTTAAAATCCCCAACAACAACCCAGGGCATATCAGCAGGCAGCTCCATATCAATCAAATTATTCCACAGTGACCTTCTAACAACATGGTCACAACTAACATAAACTACAAAAATCCAAAAAACTTCAGTAGTCATAAATTTCAATTCCACAGTTAACACTTGCTCATGTTCAAACAATACCTTTATTTCCACTCTATCATCCTATAGGATCCAGATATTCCTTTTTGCTAAAGTATAAAAGCAAAAATGACTTAAGCCAATACTTCTAGCAAAAAGACTCATTTTAGAAGCTAAAATCTTAGGCTCTTGAATCGCAATGAAACATACATCATGCACCTTTATTAGTTTTTTTAATCTCCTTCTCTTAGGAGCCTTCTCTGCTCCCCTCATATTCCAAGATAATAGATTAATCATGAGTTAATAGAAGGAAAACCTTCACTGGAACTTAATTCATTACCTTCATCATCTTCATTAAAGGAACTGTCAGACTTATCAGATTCAATAGTCTCTCCTTTCTGACCCATAAAACTGCCCTGATCTGAGAAGTATCCCTTATCAGGAGGGACCCTCTCACTAATCAAGCCATTCTGATCATCTAAAGCTTCATCACTCCCTCTCCTTACCCCATAATGATGATCAATAAGAAAAGAAGAATCCTAAGATGGGGCATATAGAACCTTACATATCCCCATATTCTCTCTTTCCTCATTAATTCCCCTATTACAATTTTCCACAACCAAATCATTTGGAGAAAATTCAACATCAATAATCTCCTTAGAACCACCAACCATAACTTCATCCCTCACTACCCTATTATTAGAAGAATTATTGATTAAAATAACAGGAGAAGCAAAGGAGAATACCTCCATACTTCCACTTGCATCTGGAGTAGTTACATTCACCAAGTTTGCTAGATCAATTTCCACATCTTCACCCTCTATTCTAATCCAAGCTCCTCCAATATCATTGTGTTCCATCACTTCTGCTTCACCCTCTCTATCCTCATCTACCACCTGGGGAATTTGATCACCCTGATTCACCTCTTGAGCCTCATTTAAATTCAACCTCTCATCAACAAAAATTCCTCCATTATCAATACCTCCATCATTAGCCACTTGTTGAGTCTGCTGAACCACCCCCATACCATTACCCAATACCTCCACATCAATCTCTTCATTCAAAATAGCTAAACTATTTTCCACAACAGTGTTTTGGACAGTAGTTTTCTGTCTGTATTCTCTCCTTGGTTTTCCTCTCTGCTCATCCACAGCAACTGCTTTGCCTTTCCCATTTCTCCATCCTTCCTCTTGACCAGAATCATTCACATGCTCAGGCTTCTTTTTAGAAGTATTAATCACCTCTTTCTTCTTTCTTCTGCACCAGTCCTCATCATGCCTCTGCTAAAGACAAGCAGGACAATATTTATAGTCTTTTTCGTAGACAATTCTCTGCCATCTCCCACTCACTCCCCCCATGTCTAGCCAGAACCTCTTAGGATTGCTAGCCAATAAATTCATCTCAACACAGGCTCTTGCTACTCCACGCCTAGATAGATTCAATGTTGCATTCTCAATGACCAAGATCTTCCCTATTGGACTTAAAATATCATGCAGACTCTCCCTATTAAAAAGATGAATAGGTAAGCCTGGTAATGATACCCAACCAGGGACAACTGGTGGTTCAATTCCAGAATGAAACTCTGGAAACCACTTGAAAAATCTAAACAGAAATCCCTCAATGTAAGTCGTGTCTTTCAACCATGTTTTCACATAATCTTTGTACAAATGAAATCTGATCAACACATGCCTTGGATCCAACACACCAACGGAGAATTCTCCTTTTGGAAGCCACCTCGAGGTAATGAATTCTTTAATTACGCCTAATGATGGCTTTCCATGTAGATATTTACCAATAAGAGTCTGATGGAAGCCTCTGGATAGCTCCTGAGTTTCATTTGGGGACCAGTACATGCCCGGTTCCCCATTGTGGTACACAACTCTCTTAGCTGGCCTCGATGAGTTTACAGATGCAAATGAGCCAGGTAGAACTACAAGGGGTAGAATTGAAGCAACATTAGACTTTAGAACACTCGTATCACCAATTGGATCCATAAAACATTGCACAACCAAATAGATCTGAGAATTTGAAGGAATCTAAGAACTCGAAGAAATTCGAATATTCAAGGGATTTTGTAAGCTCGATGGAATCTGAAAATTTAGAGAAGTTTGTGGATTTAGATTAAGAGTAGGAGGCATAGAATGAAGTTTCTCATCACCAGAAAGATCCATAGAAGAGTTAGAATTCATTGCATTTGAAACTGACTTGTCCAGCAAGCTAGCAGAGCTCGAAGTATTTTCGAACAAAGAAGCAAAATTTCTAATGATATTAGGTGGTTTAGGTGGAATTTGTTTGTGATTTTGCTCAGGATTCATGTTAATCAACAACAATCAACAGAAAATGCAAAGAATCAATGAAAAATCCAGACAAAAAAGAGAAAATATGAGGTTTTCTTAAGAAATTCTAGAGAGAAGTTGGAGTTTCTCTTACTACAACCGAAATAACTGCCTAAACCCTAAATCCCATCACCTTTGGGTGTGTTTAGATAATGGGTTAAGGTGGGTTAACACCATAAGAATAAGTTATTAAGACTGTGAGTCCCATAAATCTTTTGTTTGGGAAGCATTTTTTGAGACCGGATAACAATCCTAGGTCAAACTTTGACCCGGTTGCTACAGTACAAATTAGCCCTCCTACATGGGTTAAAGTTAACCCACCTCTCCCCTGGGTTCAAATTCTAACCGACTGGACAAGCTGGATAATTACTTGTCTACCCCTCTACTTCTTTCTTCGTTTCAAGGCTGTGCAGACGACGAAGATACTGTTGGTCTCTGGTATCTTTGTCTCTCACTCTCTCTCTCTTTGAACCAAGATGGAAGCAAATCTGGCTCACTGTGGAGATCTAGATCTGCTTCAATCTCATGGTCAACGGAGATCCAGATCTATTTGCCCCCCTGTTTCTCCTGTCACTCTCGTCCAGGCATCACTGTGAGAGCTTGTCCAAGGGCTGTTGCACTGAGGCGAAGAAAAAGACAGAAAGTGAAAAGCCTGTGTACCGAAGCTTGCTTGATGAAGTACTCGATCAAAGAATTTTCTTGTTTTTGTTCAATATCCATCTTTCAAATTTATTGTAGATACACAGACAATATATATATATATATATATATATATATATTGTGTGTGTATGTGTGTGTGTGTGTGAATAAAACTAAACTTCGACCGAGTGTTTTGTTGAAGCAGAGAGGCAAAATTGAGGCAAAGTTGAAGCTCTGCAAAGTTGAGGTGCAGACCATCAATGGCAGACGGATGGCTCTTCTGGGTTCGAGGGATTTGGGAGAATTACACTTAGATCCCCTAAAATTTGTTATTTAATTATTCAAACCCCTGATATTTAAAATATTAAACACAAATTCCCTCAAATTTATACGCGTGTAATACTTAGATCCTTTAAATTTAAAATATTATACTTAAACCAAAAATACTCTAATCAAATATAGAATATCAAATATTATTTTACAATCAAAATTCATATTCTATTGTATTATTTATTGAAATGAAATTAAAAATAAAAATTTAATTTTTTCTTAAAAAATCATAATTAGTATATAATTATACTATTTATTGAAATAAAACTAAAAAATTAAATAAGGGGTCTAAATCATATATAATTTTTATATGTTTTTAAGTATACGTGAAAAATTTATAATTTTATTAGAATAATCCACCGATTGAAACATATTAAGGCAAATGTTGTTTGTCTTTCTCCCATTGTAATCAATTTTTAAGAAATGAAATAAAGTGTTAATTTGTTTGAAAAAATAAAATACCAAAATATATATATATATATATATATATATATATTTTTTTTTTTTTTAAATTTTCTTATTTTTATATGTTTTTATGTATATGTGGACAATGTAGAATTTTATTAAGCTTGGATGGGTAAACCAAACATAGGATAGGATTGGATTGGAATGGATAGAGCCATGGGTAGAATGGTAAATTACTACAAATTTATTTGTGTAATTTATGGGGTCCACTGAATTATACATTTGTTTCCCAAACAAAGGTTAGGATTGGATATAATCTTGGGTTAGGGTTTTAAAGTGGATGAGTGGGTTTGGCTTAGATGGGTTAGGATATAAAAAAAAATATCCTATCCTATCCTACCCCATTACCCAAACACACCCTTTGAGATTTGACTTCAATCTAATACTTCTTTGATCACACCAAGAGAAGGTCTTCCGTAAGAACATCTTCCAATCAAAGCATACTACAAAGAAAGACTAGATTTCTTGATTTCATCATTGGTAAAATAGAAAGCAAACTTACCTTTGTAGAAAACTACTGGCTTATTAGTCATAGAAAAGTTAGGATTGAATACAATTTTGGTCCTTGAAGTATGCGCCCTATATAAGTTTGATCCCTCAATGTTTTTAACTCTATTAATTCAGTCCATAACATTTCCAATTCTTGTTTAATTTGTCTAATTCTTTATTGTCACTTAACTAGGGATAAACCGTGCCTAAAGGCACTGTGCAATTAAAAAAAAATCGAGCACTGAACTCAAATGGGTACTAAGTTGAAAGACTAAATTGCCCTTTAACCCATGCCTGAAGGCACTGTGCAATTCAAAAAAAAAAAATTATTCTAGAACACAAAACAATCAAACACTGAACATTAACATGCATTAAACTAAAAGTCNAAAAAAAAAAAAAAATTGTTCTAGAACACAAAACAATCAAACATTGAACATTAACATGCATTAAACTAAAAGTCTAATTGTATTTTAGACTATAAACCCCACATGACATTCCATAAGTTTAATTGGATCAATCAAATCAATTGGTGCCTATACAAAATACCAAGTAAAATGGATGAGGTTGAAAAATAAAAATGCTCTTTTATTCATCTAAAGCTAACTTAAAACTATTCTTTAATACATTAACCACAACAAATGCACCATATGAATACTTGAAAAAGTGACATGTCAAATATAAAATTGTGTGATACAACCACTTTCTCAAAAATTTAGAAACAATCCACAAAATTTTTCAATCTCCAACAACTTCCATCACACAACAAAATGACATTTACTATTTTTAAATCAATGTCTAATCAAATAAATCAACAAAACCCATATTACAAGTATGTAGAAATTACTACTAGTGAGAAGATTTTTACCCTGCACGACCTTTAAAATAATCTCTGATAGACCCGAATCTGCGCAACAATAATTGAATTAGTAATTCACTCAATGTTAATTATTCCAAAATGTCAATCCCAAATCTCAAAATGCAAGAAAGAGATAAAATGTTAATTGAAATTTTCACGCAAATTAATCTGGGGGAATGAATGAGGGTTATTATTTGGGTGCAATTACCAAACCCAATTACATCAAATATTAAACAAATGCAGTATCAAAATTATGCACAATTACGTCAAGATTTGTCTCTAGCACGTTGTTTTCTAAAGAAACGTAATAAGAGAGAAAAATTATATTCCAAAGCAATGTTAATTAAGAATGTAATTGAATAATTCATAACTTCAGGATTAGATTGAATATATAAAACTTAAACCCTAAACCTAAAATTTTGTAGAAAAATAAATAGCATCTAAGCAAGGCAAAAATTTATACATAATAAAAAAAAAATCAAGGGACATATTTCCTAGCAATCATAGAGAGCATGAAACAATAAAAAAAACAAAACAAAACCATGATTCAAGTACAAAAACTCAAGATTGGTCGTAGGCAAACTCATATAACATTCCCCCCCCCTCCCCCCAAAAAAAAATCGTGGCAACCTGACACTTATATCATCACTTTTGGAAACATCCTAGTGCTAATCATAAAATGCAAGATCTCAAGAAGAACTACCATGATGCGGGGCATCATGTCTTTACAACAGAATGACAGCTTTTCTCATAAATAGCATCAGTTGGGTTTCAACAACAGAACAGAGAAACATCATTCAAACCTAGTACAAAAGGCCAAATAAGGCCACATAAAGGTCAGGATAAGGCAAGGTAAAAGGCACAAACAGTAAAATCACTTGGAAATTCTTTTTTACTTACATAAGCACTCAGTCATGGAGACCTGAATTTGTAATGAACAACTATCAAAGTAGTGAACAGGTGATAATTTCTGGAAAACCAATAAAGGGGGATTTTCACTACCTCGTTATAAATAGTTTTGTATGCAACATGAAGAGCTTCAACTTCATCACCCCACATCCGCATGGAATACAACAGACACTACTCTACATATGAATAAAAAACAAAAAGCAAAAAGTAAAAGGTGAAAACACACAACAAGGAGTCAAGTCACACAAAAAATAGTTAATGCAACCAATATCGACACATTCGGCATACCAAAGTCTTATCCCAAGTTTCAAGCAAATTGAGGTGGAGAACGTGAAATACTCAACACCCAAACATAAATCTTGATCTTAAGATATACTACACCGCAACTATAATTTCGAATTTTTTCAATAGACATCATAAAAAGTGGGAACTTGTGGTACGTAGAATCAAAGGGACACACAAAGATAGACAATTGCAAACCTAAGCAAATTAATAAAAAATAAATAAAGGACAAACATTGCAAACAAAATTAAATGAAATCTAATCTTAAAATATTCCAGAAACATACAGAATTGTCACTACACCCAATGGCAAGATACTGGCTCTCCTAATGTGAAGAAGATACGGAGTCCTACAACCAATTCAAATGTAAATTAGTAGAATAAGCACAATAAGAAATTGAAAATTTAAAGATCACATAAAAAGAAAATTTGAATGATTAGTAGAGTGAGCATAATAGAATTGGATATTCCAACAAACATTCATGATCTGGATGTGAATGAGTAGAATTACTTATCCCTCGGTTTATTAGTGAACCAGCTCTCCAGTTATTAGAGAGAATTGGTCTAAAGAATGAGCATAATTAACCTGAAAACATGACCAAAAATTACCTTTAAGAAGTGAACGTCCAACACCGAATGATTTAACTTTGGCAGTGACAGCAAAAGAATCAAATTCACCATGGATACTTGAGGCTTATTTTGCGAATTGATCACTATTTCAATACGTAAACAGAACATTTTCACTTTTCTGTCACCAAAGACAACAATCTTGACGACAAGCATAGAAGAGGATGATTGTTGATGAAATTTCTCTAAACAAATTCCATGAACACGTATTCCTTCAAAAACTTTTAACGATCTTATCATCACTCCTGTCACTAAATCATAAAGTAGAAGTTGTGAACCCGTTCCTGTTGAAAAAAAAGATCGCAAGAAGACTGTCAGGAGTTGCTTAATCTGTAGAACTCACAATGACAAATTAAAAATCTTCTGATCTTTGAGCTTTAGTTGTTTTTGGAAGGTGATCTTTGTTAATCACACTGAGAAGCATATGTGCAATTATTTGAGTTATCTTTTTATCCATGGCCAGATCTATAAGGGTCTTTTGCACTATTAGAAGTCATAGTTCAACTGCTGGTGTGTCCGCTCATAGTAGTTTATGCATTCTGATGGGACATTTTCAAAATACTCAAAGATGAAGACACGTGTCCTCGGTGTCACTAATTCTTGTTACTGTGATTACGACATGTACCCATCGGTTCATAAGTCCCTCTCCCCCGAGGTACTGGTCGTAGGGATCAATGGCATCCAGTACGTTTACGTACCGACATGTATCCCTCGGTCGGGGATATGGTACATCGGTCCCTATATGTACCTCCCTCTCGGCTCCGAGATGTACCTCCCCCTTGGTTTCAAGGTGTGCCATCCAGGATGGCATCCTCTGCTCCCGCAGAGGCTATTGATGTACAAGTCACTAGCCTAGGCTAGGCTAAGTTAGCCATCATGACCTCGTCTTACACAATTGGTGTCAGAAGGCATAGGAAGGCAAAAGACNTCAACCTCTACAAAAAAAATTTGGGAACAAATTAAGGCATTAAAAAGAGAGTAAAACCTCTTAGATATGCAGGTACGATTGGAGAAAAGAACGCAACCAGTTCCACAGGAGATTGAAGGACGTTTAGCCATGATAAGAACATCTGTAACATTTGANTTGACACACAACTTGGGAAAACAAGCATTTAATTAAGTCATTCCCTTGATGAGACAACATTTAATGCGATAAGGCTCAGAAGAGAAAGACAATAAATGTCCCTGATACTGGACATTTATTACTCTCTTGCCGAGAAGAACTCATTGAATATTCGACAGGCCGATGACGACACATTGATTGCTCGAGGTCCCGAGCAGTTAAAAGAGAAGACATTCCTCATAGGAATCAGTGCGCACGTTGCTTGTACCTAATGATCACCTATTGACCACACTGACAGCAATCATGAGTTTTTGAGATATAAATACTCCTCACAAAAGGCAAGACGGTACGCAACAAAAAACCTTTTCAAAAACCTATATTCAGTGTTTTCTTCTTCCCCCCTCTCAAATACTGACTTGATCGTCGGAGGGGATACGCCGAAAAATACTCCGGCGCCCTTCTAACTTGCCTTTCTTTGTTCCATGAACCTTCCTCAGCCTTACTGGATCGCTCCGTTGATCCACACGGGTCTTCCATTATCGTTCTAGGTTACCACAGGACCTCACAGGCTGTTCCCAATAGCAAGGTTGACCATTTGATTGACTGACTCGAGTTCACCACGGGAGAGATCTGTTCTCGTATTTATATTATGTAAGATCCTGTACACACACATTCCACCATATCTTTCTTTCTGCACGAAGAGTGACGTACATATGTTTGCGTGCGATCGCGCATAATGATAGAATATGAGTCTAAGAAAGAGAAGAAAAAAAGAACAAACCGGCGATGGGTGGACAAAACAGTGGGCTGAGATTTATCCCAGGTACTGCCCTCTTTGAAGACGCCACTCGCTACTCCTCCCAGTCATAACTACTGCTGCTGCTGCTACTTCTTCTTCTTCAAGTGCTGACAGCAGCGGCGGCGGTGGTGTTGCTGACGAAGTGGCGGTGGAGGTAAGGAGCGTAACAGAGAGAGAGATAAAGAGAGATGTTAAGGAGCGTAACAGAGAGGTAATGAGAGAGAGATGGTAAGGAATAAGGAGTAAGGAGTAAGGAGTAACAGAGGGTGGAAAAAAAAAATGAAAATAGAAAGGAAGGGATGGCTGTCTGACAGAAGGGAGGTAAAAAAAAAAAAAAAAGATGGAGGGGGAGGCAGTGACAGGTGAGCTGATTGAGAGGGGTCAGTATTTTGAAAATAATTGTGGATGAAAAATGATGAATTTAGGGGTAAATAAAAAAATATTGGTAACCGTTGTTTGAGATTATCGATTATTAACGAGGTCCAATTTTATATTACAGAATTAATACAACAGAAGTATAAAATTAATTGATATATTGGAAGGTCATGCGAGAAACCCATTATTTGACGCGGTAAAGTGAGACCATTGACATAATTATGGAAGTCAAAATGTAATTTGCCCAAAACTTTCAAAAATTTTGAGCCACAGTCGAGTGTTTCGTTTGAGACCACACATTCATACTCTCCCTTGTTCGTAACTGCAATTTCTAGCCGTCCACTTGGGCTGTTCTCTTTCACCTGCCTCTTGGACTTTGGCCTTAATTTCGTTTGAGATCACATTTTACTTCACTCTCAAATCAATAGGGGAATATAGATTAGAATCTCATTGTTGACCTCCGATCACGGGGGGGTGGGGGAGGGAAGAAAGAAATCCGGGGCAGAGCGTGGAAGCAGCTGGGGTGGTTATTGTGGAATTAGACAGACGAAATGACTAGTGCAACTGCTGCCCTGACACCTACTACCACGGCCCTATTTGGCGGTGCCCAAACAAGAGGATCGAGGCATTCGCCGGAATTCATGAGGAGGACTTTTCCTCTTTCGTGCCCAACCACGGCCACTAGTGATAGCTGTGCCCATGGCTGGAGTATTGCTGCTCATCGTGCTCACAGACGCTCCACCCTACTGGTGTTTTCGAGGGCGGCTTCCTCTGCTTCTGCGCCCGAGACTGGCAAAGACAAAAAGAAGCAGAAGAAGAAGGATAACTACGATGACGAGGAGGAGGAGGAGGAGGATAATGTAGACGGCGTTGGCAACCCTAAGAAGGAACAGCCTTCTTCTTCTTCTTCTTCTGTTTCAGTTATGAGGAGGCTGGACGACGTGAATCCAGTGGGACTGGGAAGGCGGTCGAGGCAGATATTCGACGAGGTGTGGCGCAAGTTCTCCGGATTGGGACAGATCTCCAGGACGACCCGCACCGACGATGAGGCCAGCCTTCTCATTAGGGAGGGTGGTCCCATGTGCGAGTTTGCCATCCCTGGGGCCCAGAATACCACCGTCCTCGTTGTTGGTGCCACCAGCCGCGTGGGTCGCATTGTTGTCCGAAAGCTTATGCTTAGGGGTTACACTGTCAAGGTTCCTTTGCTTGCCTCTTCACATCTCTCTCACTTGATATGATTCCGCTTATTAAGACTCTACTCATGAATCATGATGCTATTCCTGCAACATTATTCCTAAGCTGACAAAATATTCTACTGGATGGATATGCACAACTTCCACATCTTTGATTCTTGTATGCATGTTGCAGTAAGCAATGTTTCTTATTAGTGTTAGTATTTTTAATTTTTCTAATTTTTTTCTTTCTCTAATTGTGGATATTTCTACCTAAGTTCACATACAAAAACACCAATTACAAAAAATGGATCAAGTTTTTCAATGATTTGCATCCATAACTTTTGTTAAATCTGAAATTTATCAAAACCTAGAGTCAAAATATTTTTGAATCAAACTGTTATGGCCACTCTATCTATTATTCAACCTCTACAAAAAAAATTTGGGAACAAATTAAGGCATTAAAAAGAGAGTAAAACCTCTTAGATATGCAGGTACGATTGGAGAAAAGAACGCAACCAGTTCCACAGGAGATTGAAGGACGTTTAGCCATGATAAGAACATCTGTAACATTTGATTGTGATTATGAATGCAATGTAAAGATTGGAAAACCAAATACACAAAACAACATCACTATTATTAAGCTCAAAGTGTCAGAAATATAAGAAAAAGGCTTCAATACTCAGAATAAGCGGTTGGACCATACTGAAATTGTAAAATAGCAGTATTTGGTATTCGCATAATCAGCATCTAATTTATTGTCCAATATAATGTAGAAATGTAATAATAACATCCAACAAAAAATGATAAAAGCTATAACCAATTCCAAGATTTTGCCAAGCATGTTGGACTGCATATGTCCAGATCCCTTTACTAAACTCTAAAGTCCCATAGTGCCAGAATAATGCATACTCAAAGCATTCTTTATACATGTTGATGGTGTANCGCAACAAAAAACCTTTTCAAAAACCTATATTCAGTGTTTTCTTCTTCCCCCCTCTCAAATACTGACTTGATCGTCGGAGGGGATACGCCGAAAAATACTCCGGCGCCCTTCTAACTTGCCTTTCTTTGTTCCATGAACCTTCCTCAGCCTTACTGGATCGCTCCGTTGATCCACACGGGTCTTCCATTATCGTTCTAGGTTACCACAGGACCTCACAGGCTGTTCCCAATAGCAAGGTTGACCATTTGATTGACTGACTCGAGTTCACCACGGGAGAGATCTGTTCTCGTATTTATATTATGTAAGATCCTGTACACACACATTCCACCATATCTTTCTTTCTGCACGAAGAGTGACGTACATATGTTTGCGTGCGATCGCGCATAATGATAGAATATGAGTCTAAGAAAGAGAAGAAAAAAAGAACAAACCGGCGATGGGTGGACAAAACAGTGGGCTGAGATTTATCCCAGGTACTGCCCTCTTTGAAGACGCCACTCGCTACTCCTCCCAGTCATAACTACTGCTGCTGCTGCTACTTCTTCTTCTTCAAGTGCTGACAGCAGCGGCGGCGGTGGTGTTGCTGACGAAGTGGCGGTGGAGGTAAGGAGCGTAACAGAGAGAGAGATAAAGAGAGATGTTAAGGAGCGTAACAGAGAGGTAATGAGAGAGAGATGGTAAGGAATAAGGAGTAAGGAGTAAGGAGTAACAGAGGGTGGAAAAAAAAAATGAAAATAGAAAGGAAGGGATGGCTGTCTGACAGAAGGGAGGTAAAAAAAAAAAAAAAAGATGGAGGGGGAGGCAGTGACAGGTGAGCTGATTGAGAGGGGTCAGTATTTTGAAAATAATTGTGGATGAAAAATGATGAATTTAGGGGTAAATAAAAAAATATTGGTAACCGTTGTTTGAGATTATCGATTATTAACGAGGTCCAATTTTATATTACAGAATTAATACAACAGAAGTATAAAATTAATTGATGTATTGGAAGGTCATGCGAGAAACCCATTATTTGACGCGGTAAAGTGAGACCATTGACATAATTATGGAAGTCAAAATGTAATTTGCCCAAAACTTTCAAAAATTTTGAGCCACAGTCGAGTGTTTCGTTTGAGACCACACATTCATACTCTCCCATGTTCGTAACTGCAATTTCTAGCCGTCCACTTGGGCTGTTCTCTTTCACCTGCCTCTTGGACTTTGGCCTTAATTTCGTTTGAGATCACATTTTACTTCACTCTCAAATCAATAGGGGAACATAGATTAGAATCTCATTGTTGACCTCCGATCACGGGGGGGTGGGGGAGGGAAGAAAGAAATCCGGGGCAGAGCGTGGAAGCAGCTGGGGTGGTTATTGTGGAATTAGACAGACGAAATGACTAGTGCAACTGCTGCCCTGACACCTACTACCACGGCCCTATTTGGCGGTGCCCAAACAAGAGGATCGAGGCATTCGCCGGAATTCATGAGGAGGACTTTTCCTCTTTCGTGCCCAACCACGGCCACTAGTGATAGCTGTGCCCATGGCTGGAGTATTGCTGCTCATCGTGCTCACAGACGCTCCACCCTACTGGTGTTTTCGAGGGCGGCTTCCTCTGCTTCTGCGCCCGAGACTGGCAAAGACAAAAAGAAGCAGAAGAAGAAGGATAACTACGATGACGAGGAGGAGGAGGAGGAGGATAATGTAGACGGCGTTGGCAACCCTAAGAAGGAACAGCCTTCTTCTTCTTCTTCTTCTGTTTCAGTTATGAGGAGGCTGGACGACGTGAATCCAGTGGGACTGGGAAGGCGGTCGAGGCAGATATTCGACGAGGTGTGGCGCAAGTTCTCCGGATTGGGACAGATCTCCAGGACGACCCGCACCGACGATGAGGCCAGCCTTCTCATTAGGGAGGGTGGTCCCATGTGCGAGTTTGCCATCCCTGGGGCCCAGAATACCACCGTCCTCGTTGTTGGTGCCACCAGCCGCGTGGGTCGCATTGTTGTCCGAAAGCTTATGCTTAGGGGTTACACTGTCAAGGTTCCTTTGCTTGCCTCTTCACATCTCTCTCACTTGATATGATTCCGCTTATTAAGACTCTACTCATGAATCATGATGCTATTCCTGCAACATTATTCCTAAGCTGACAAAATATTCTACTGGATGGATATGCACAACTTCCACATCTTTGATTCTTGTATGCATGTTGCAGTAAGCAATGTTTCTTATTAGTGTTAGTATTTTTAATTTTTCTAATTTTTTTCTTTCTCTAATTGTGGATATTTCTACCTAAGTTCACATACAAAAACACCAATTACAAAAAATGGATCAAGTTTTTCAATGATTTGCATCCATAACTTTTGTTAAATCTGAAATTTATCAAAACCTAGAGTCAAAATATTTTTGAATCAAACTGTTATGGCCACTCTATCTATTATTCAACCTCTACAAAAAAAATTTGGGAACAAATTAAGGCATTAAAAAGAGAGTAAAACCTCTTAGATATGCAGGTACGATTGGAGAAAAGAACGCAACCAGTTCCACAGGAGATTGAAGGACGTTTAGCCATGATAAGAACATCTGTAACATTTGATTGTGATTATGAATGCAATGTAAAGATTGGAAAACCAAATACACAAAACAACATCACTATTATTAAGCTCAAAGTGTCAGAAATATAAGAAAAAGGCTTCAATACTCAGAATAAGCGGTTGGACCATACTGAAATTGTAAAATAGCAGTATTTGGTATTCGCATAATCAGCATCTAATTTATTGTCCAATATAATGTAGAAATGTAATAATAACATCCAACAAAATTTATAAAAGCTATAACCAATTCCAAGATTTTGCCAAGCATGTTGGACTGCATATGTCCAGATCCCTTTACTAAACTCTAAAGTCCCATAGTGCCAGAATAATGCATACTCAAAGCATTCTTTATACATGTTGATGGTGTAAACCGAAGTGGATGAGCAGAGGATATGGATTATGCTTGTCGACTTAGATCTGAGCTACAAAGCTCGTGAGGATTGTGCTCAGAATTACTAGGGGATTGGGGTGATGTGCACAACAAAAATATAGTGGTGTACCAGTTCGGGAGCTCGGCTAATCCACTCTTCAATGGAGGCTCTTACTCCTTTTCTCTTTAGTCGTGAAGGATTTAACTTACAGAGTTTGTTCTATGATTTCCGATTTTTTTCCTTCTTTTTTCTCTCAATGAGGCAAAGTACAGTATTTATAGCACGATTTGTATCACTAAGGGATCTTCAGCGAGATCTTTGCTCGTTAACCACAGAACTTTCCTTAATTTTAGAAGGAGATCTTGGGTGGTTTAGAGTTTCACGCCTTGATCACTACCTCTTTGCTGTTTTTGTGGACGCTTATTTCTGTCTAGCTGTTCTTTCCTTGACTTCTCTGGTCTTTCAACGTAGAGGAGCTCGAGACTTGGGCTTCAGAGCTCTAGGCTCATTGCCCGACTTGGCTTCCTGAGCTCATACTTAGTAAAAATTCTTTATTCATGCATCATCAGTTATCTCCCAGCTCTTGGTTTAAGCAAGCTAGAACAAGAGCTGAACTTAAACCGAAGCAGAGTGGACCTTTGTTCAGTGACCTCGATGCTTGTGTGGACAAATTTTTGACGGTTGCCAATAATCATTTCTTTCCTTGTTTCTCGTGCACATTGCTCACTTCGAAAACCCCTTGCACCGTTAGCTTTAAATGTCCCTAGATCGACGGGTCCCTTACTTTTTGAATTCTCTCTGACTCTTCTGCTTCACTTTTTTGCGATCTCATCTTCCTCAATTTGCCGTTGTTCTTAGGGTTTCACAGAGAATCGGTTTCCCTTGATTCAGCTCGAAGTTCACTCCTCACCTTCAATTTGAGCTTTGGCCCACTGTTCATCTTGACTTAGGTACGCTTCCTGTTCTCTGTTCATCTCCTCGTTTTGGATCCCTCAAGTCTGAGGTGGTTTCTGCATTTTTGGACTTTTCGATTATGTTATTTTAGGAACTGCGGTCGATCTTTGTCCCGTATTCCCCTTTTCTTAGACCCTTATTCAACTGCTAGGGTTTTCCTTATTGGCAGTTGCTGTGTTGCC